CATGCTGTTTTTCGCCATATGAGCCTGAACCAAATCGCCTCAGTCGCATACACATTACATAACAGACATAACACCACTGGCAGGTGATAGATGTACTCCAGCAGTGACGCGCCCAACTAGAAGCCATGGGTTTAGATGGGGCGATGAGCCGAAAGAAAGATATGGAAATTTGTGACGATGAATGAGTGTACAGAGATTCCAAGGATACGCAGCAACGGATGCTATAGTGCTTTTTACCACTGTATGTCATCAGTGAAAAGCGTCATCCTCTTCTGAAGGGCATTGCAAAGTGAGACTTATTTGCGGACACCGGAAGTACTTGAAGCGAGTTTTTTAGACTGTAATCCAAACCTTTAATCTTACGACTTGAGTGATGAGCACTAAGCCGGTTCAATTGTCCGTCAATCAGTTTCTGTGACCACATGTTCTTTCAGGTCACGGAGTCAGATGCGTCAGACAGTCTATTACATTTCCGATTCTTTGAGAGTCTCTGAACTCCCGCATCAGAATCTGTCGACCTTAGGTTGTTCTTGATGTCCCCGGTGTCTTCGGCCGTCGGTGGACCAAGTAACAGCTGTTTCGCCTATTTTTCTGAAAGCGTGTAAAAACGTACTCAAACCATTGCAGCTGTGACTGCTGAGGCTGGAGAAGCAGAATCTGCACACATACGCTTTCTCGGATATCTGAGCTTGAACTACACATGGTCATTCCTAACATCACTCATTGGAGTGCTTGCTTTACTCGGGCTCTAGGTCTCGAGTTTAGCGCCCTCTATACGTGCAGTTCTTAGGAAGAAAAGCCGCCCCCTCATCATACGTATTCCGCACACGTGGCCGAGGTCTCTCCAAATCCATTAGGAGCATATTAAATTCCGCTAATATCTGCATCACTTTCAAGTCAAAATGTGTGCTTCCATTACCAGTTATCAAACTGAAAGATCGTGTTCCACCAGAAGAGGCGGCGGAGATTACTTACTAGATTGATTTTCAACCCGTAGCTTTCGATACGTCGGCCAAACATCGCGACTCTTTTGAGTTAGAGCGATCGAGCGATCAAATTACTACTAATGGCCAGGAAGCTTGAAAGAAGTTGGAAGTAACATCTGTGCCCACATCTTCATATGACTACCGAACACCGCAGTGACTTTGCTACAGAAATACTATCATCCGGTCAGTCGACTTATTGCGATTATTACTACAGGCTTTATTGACCAAAACAATGAACAATAATATAAACAGGTATTGCGGAGTGAAAACTCTAAGACCTGGATGAGCCTCATGAAGCGCGTTGAAGAGTCTAAGAACTTAAAGCATGATAGAGTGACAACAAGAAAAGACAGGCTGACGAAGCCAACAACGAACAATCACATAGCAGATGCGCAATAAGCTACAACCAAGTAAGGAATTTTAGTCGGATCCTGATCCATGTGTGACGCACATTCCGTGATGTATAGAATTAAGCCTTTTTCAACAGTTAATAATATTTCCACAGCAACAAATTGGCTATTAAAATATTCCAAACGTTTCGAGCCACACGGCAATAATTTTCAAGAATATTGGTAACAGGTTAATACCGGTATTTAATATATATTTTTTTCTTGTGCTCAAAATCATTGAATCAGAAGATCGACTTGTAAACAGCACAGGATACGGTATTTATTTATACACAACTCAAATAATTTCGCTAGTCGGATGATTTACCAATACTGAGATTTCAGTCAATGCTTTACGGGCCTTCTTCAAAAAAAAGAAGTGTGTGAGCTTCGGAAGCACTTCTGGTCATCCACGACAGTTGTTTAGTTCAGAGTCAGAGGCCTGGTGTCGGCACTGGTCATTCATTTAAATGATCAAATTATTTGTGTTGAGTATAAATGAGGGATGTTTTGTGCTGTTTCCTCAACGATTACCGAAGCAAGAACCAAATTCGTAAAGATCAGCTACATGATTGATGTCTTAGTTATAATGACATAAAAAAAATTATTCAATTTCTATGATAGAAACTGCCATTGTACTTGAAATGAAGTTCTTCAGTCAGTGAATGATATTACTGATGACGTGTGGACAGGGAATGTGAACCCTTAACGTGGAGCCTGTCCAAAAACTACAGAAGCAATATGGAAAGGAGCATGTTGCGAATGACAGGAAAAAATTAGAAGCGGAATGAACGGATGAAGGAACAAACAATGGCCCACGATTCCACTGCAAGAACAATAAGTAAATATGGCAATTCCTATGGCATCTTGAAAGTAAAGTTTTGCATAGTCGGGCGAACGAAATATTAGACTGGAGTGGATAACAGCCGCATGAGACAGTTCTTTTAAATTTTCGAAAAAGTTTTTTTGCAGTGGTGGATGGAGAAAACTCGATGATTATGCCAATAACGTTGCTGCTACAAATGATGATTACAATGATGACAATGAGGACGACGACAACGGCATCGATAGAAAAAAAACGGTGAAGATGAAAGCAGCGATAACAGAACTGCCACAAGGAATGCCCCATAGCCATATATATGAAATTAATGATACAAATATTAGTTTACTTTAGACAAAAAAAACCAGATTATTGAAATAAAAAATGAAAAAAGTATAGCATGGAGCCTTTTGGAAACCGCAGTATGATTCTGATACAGCAGTTGATTATTTCAAAAACATAACTCCATAAGCACGAAGGCACAGTCAAGATGCTTTTCTGCGGCTTTTTGACGTAAATAGTTGATAAAATCTATTTTGACCTGACTGCTGCCTTGTCACGATAGTCGAATTCAATCAAATTCAACTATAATGGTACCCTACTTGGAC